TCTTGTGCTCTATTAGTAACCGCTGATGTTAAGCTTTACATAAGATGGAGGAACAAAAGTATAACGGTGACAATGAAGAGCACGGGTAAAGTCAATCAACCAGAGGAAACAGAATTGGAAGAAAATGAAGTCAACGTTTCAAGATATGCAGCATTCTTAGAGTGGAAGAGTTATAGTGCAAATTCCCATGTAAAGTAATGTAGTACAAGAAGATACGGGTGCATCGCTACCAAATAGATAAGCTGGACAGTTTTGGGAGCTATTTGTCATCATTTTTAATACTTAAATGTTTGTTGTATGTTTTTAACTCATACAGAGTATACAACAGTATAATATATTTATCAATGGGAATATAAAAAGAAGTCTTCAACTCTCTCAATCCTTTATTGTAAAATTAATTACATAAGGCGACTAGTTTCGAGGTCCAAATTTACTCCTCATCATCAGGTCATCAGGTGTAAATTTGAACCTCGAAACTAGTCGTCGTATGCAATTAATTTTACAATAAAGGATTGTGACTGTACATATACTGATTTATCTTAAAAGTATAATCACAGTCTAATTGCTTGATTAGTTAATCAAGCTTTAACCGAGACTCAAAGTACCGGGCCCAGATGTTCTAATAACGAGTATGGAATACTTTAATAACAGTTGTAGCTACCATTTCGTAAAGAGTAGATATATAAACGACGTTATATACTAGTTATACAATAATTTAATAAATAATATGGTTTATAGTCACTATAGAACTGTATTAGCAATATACGTTTTATATCCAATATTTATCTGTCACAATATAGCACAATGTTCTTATAATGACATTTTCAATTTTAATAAAGAATAAAATGCATTTCTTCCAGTGTAGTTTAATTTTAATACATATCATATATTGGAAATTTGTACATTCTATTCTACCCTAAATAAATATCAGAATTTTCTGTTGTTTTTATTACATGTTGAGTCCAGTGGGTAATAAATTATGTGTAGTCATTATATACCATTATTGAAGAAAAAAGAAAAGATATATGAGGTTCTGAAAAATTACTATTGGCAGCTTATGTACACACACGTTTGCATGTTTGAATTCACGCTATGACATATATTTTAATTAAGTATCTTTTTCACCATCAGATTGTTTTAGAAAATGAGTTTATCTAAAAAATATTTTGACAATAAGAGATAATTGCAGGTAGTAACGAGTTGATTTTTCAGTCTTTTATTTTTCTTTACCTTTATACTTGCTTAGACAATATTCGTGAATTCGGACGAATATTTTATANGTAAAGCAAATCGGACACATGTTTATATAAACTTTTTTTCTAGAAATAACCCAAGGAACATCCTCTATTAGTGCCGGGAGAACTTCATGAAACACCCGGTATATCAAAATAATCTTCTGGTAACCGTTTCGATATAAATCAAATCACTAGAAACGGTTTCTAATTAATATTCAATGTGACGTTTAGACGAAATGGCGAAACTGCCAATCAGAAATGACAGAACTTACGTCAAAACGGGTCCATAATTACTTTCCATCTAAAAAGTTGGATGTCGGTTTCAAATTTCTAATCACCATATACTTTTACATGAATTACAAAATTATGCGTAGTAAAAGGAAACCCATATTTCAGTAATATTTGAGGCATATTATGGAGAAATAAATATGAGCGATAAACAAGATAAGTTGGAAAGAAACATCATAGATGATTATAGAAAACAAGTTCCTCAAAACGTTAAGTTCCTTCTTGAAACTTCAGTAAGAGCCATTGCTGCTACCATAGTTCAACCCATAGACGTAATTAAAATTAGAATCCAGTTGTGTATATCAGTTGGCCTTAGAACGTATCCCACGTCTCTCCGAGGGATAATCGCTAAAGAAGGTATCTCCGTCCTATATCATGGATTATCCGCTGCAGTTTTAAAACAAATTATGACCGTCACAACACGAATGAGTGTCTATTCATTACTGTTTCATTACATTAGAACGGAGGATGGCAAGTTTCCTACTTTCAGTTACCAAGTAGCTGTAGAGATTTTTACCGTAGCATGTGGAGCTTTCATTTCGGCTCCTGCCGAGTTAGGCCTCGTTCGGATGACAGCGGATACCTGTATGCCAATGCGCGAGAGGAAAAATTACAAAAATGTTATAGACGCATTAAAGCGGATTCATAGTAAAGAGGGAACAACTTCTTTATGGAGAGGTGCTGTACCCATGGTCTTGCATGCAGTTTTTGGCAAAGGTGCGGGTATCATGTTCTACCCTCTAATTATGGGTAATTTAAAGGCAGGTGATGATAGTTTGTCAACTCGTATTGTCGCGTCCACGATAGTAGAATTTATTTCCAGTATAATTGCTTTGCCCTCCGATATTATTAAAACTAAGCTGCAAAGTATGGGAGTTAAAAATGGTAAAAGTGAATTTAAAGGACCTTTAGATGCTTTCAGAAAAATTATAAAGCAAGACAGATTTATGGTACTATGGAAAGGATTTATTCCGTATTACCTACGCCGAGCAACCCACACGATGATTTCTATTATCATGTTAGAATACAGTTATACAATACTTTTACAATAAATGTTTGTAACTAATTAATCCATTTTGTTTATTTATTCACGTAAGTGAAGAGAAGTTTTTGTCGTTATGATTTTTTTTATAAATGATTGAATGTGATGTTTTCAAAGATCTGCACTTTTGATTGTTCTAAAAGTTACTGTCAATTTGTTATTTTAATTGGAATAATGTGTTTAATTTTTATCAACAGATTTTCCTTATTACTTTTCTTTAATTTTTTAGATATTTTGCCACCTGCGAAAAAATTTAGTTAAACAAACCCTTGCGCCAAACGGATCAGTCAAGATTTCTTTTAAGATATTTTTTATTTTAAAAATTCTTACAAGATGCTAACAAATTAGATGCCAAATTTGTTTCTAATAGTCTCTCTTATGGAATACCTATTATGTAGTTAGATTCTAGTCATTTATTTAAATTTCTGCGTTATTTATAAATCCATCAAAGTGCAGGAATAATTGAAGCTAAATTATTTAGCTTGAATCAGGAGCAAGAGATAACTTCTTCAAAAGTTTGCAACTTTCTTTAATGATGTCAATGTGGTAGGTAAGTATATATTTTTCTTTCAGTATTTGAATTTGAAGTGTTTAGAAATATTTTGAATTAGTTTAATACATTTGAAGTAAAATAAAAAAATCAAAATTATAAAAATTGAAATTAAAAGGGTTTTAGTTAAAATAAAGTTTTAATTTTGAATATAGTATACGGTGTGTCCCAAACCGCTCGTCACCCCTACTAAAATCGAAAGTAGGTGGTTATGTGAAAAAAGGTTCGGATGAATGTTACTGGCCTCCAAGGGGCACATATTGTGGACCTTGGAGATCATTTTCAAGATCATTTCAAGGTCACCTTATTTTTTTTTTAATGGAAACCCTTATTTTCAACCCCGGATTCGGATAGAGCGAAAAATTCTACATTCAGATGATGTATCATGTGTGGGGTTTATTTGGCCCCAATGTTACGTGAAGGTAATTTTTTTACTGAATCTTTTCACCCAAATGACCCCGCAAATTAAGTTTTAGCGAAAAATGTGTCAGATAAACGTTGCAAAATTGTGAAGAGACATGTTTCGATAACCTTGACATGTGACATTAAAACAAATTTAGAAGGAGACTTCTGCGGAAATGGTGTACATCCCTGAAGAAGCACACGACATGATACAAGTTTATTTTGAAGCAGGGTCATTTGCCGCTGCTGAAAGACTGTGGCGACAACGTTATCCTGACAGATTTGCCCTTCACGTGACCTCTGAGGATCAATTGGACCCCACACATCATCTGAACGTAGAATTTTCCGCTCTTTCCAAATCCTGGGTTGAAAATAAGGGTTTCCATTAAAAAAATTAAGTTGGCCTTGAAATGACCTTGAAAATGACCTTCAAGGTCACAGACAAGGTCACGACAATGTAATAATAATAATAAATTAAGAATTGACTTTTTCTCTAATATGATTTAAATTTAACTATTATTGGTTAATTTTGTACTATAAAAATTTCCAAGGGGGGCAGCGCCCTAGGACCCTGCACCGACCGCCGCTGTTTCCATTTTATCAATATCTGGAGTGATTTTGCACCATTTTATTTTCTATTTAAATTTTAATTTAGATATTGTATTAAAGTCATAAACTACTAAGTTGCCACAGTTGCTTCTACACAGATCTATTTTAGAGACAATATTATATGTCTTGATTAAAGGAACTGATTAACTGATCGAACGAATAGTTTGTCATAACCTATATTATGCGTTACTGATACGTAAGTATATGTAATAATGTAACTATCTATTTAATTAACCAAATATTAATAGAGACTCGATATATTATTGTTTTTAAATATTGTAATAAAACCATTGCATTTAAACATAATTTTCACCAAAATAACTGGTTTAACGAACATTTGTTCAGCACTACACGTCATACACCACGCCACGAGATGACCTAATGGGGATGATGAGGATAGACAAAGACAACGCATGACAACCATAGAATGGGGTGGGGTCACTCAATAATCAGGACATTTACTTCGATTTAGCTAGAAGTGCACCAAATACGAGTTTATCTGCATTATTTGAGTGAAAATACTCAGTTTTAATTCAAATATTATCACATATGAGTAAAATTATCAAAATGCTCAATCTTGAGTGAAAACGTACTCAATAATTTCACTTAATGGATTCACTCCGTACCTTTATTGCTTTCATTTATGTTTGTGAAAACGTCTAATGCTCCATCTATCCTATATCTAGCAATGTAAAAAAGACTCAAATTTCTGCAATTTGGAGCTATTTCTCCTTGTTTTTAATCTGTCGATACAATTCGTAGATATATTGTTTAAGTTTTTTTAAATTTTGATTAATGAATTCTTTAAAATACTTAAAATGATGTAGCAATCATTAATTAAGTGTGAAATAGTAGGTTAAAGTTGTATTCTTACCTGTCTTTCAGTCAAATCTAATGAAGCCGCTATTTCTATCCGTCTCGGCCGACAAAGATATTTGTTAAAGTGAAATTCTTTTTCGAGTTCTAATAATTGCGTATTGGTGTAGGCTGTCCTAAGTCTTCTTGGAAGTCCATTTTCTGAAACAATTGAAAAAAATAACGAAATAAAGATAGGCAGTTTTATTGTTAGTGTTGTAAGTCAAACTACTATAGTATGCTTATAGATAGAGATAGTATGCAAGTCATGGGCAAATATTTTTTATTTTTTCTAACTTAACTTCTTTTTAACAAATTGTGCTTATAGTACACACTTTCGCTTATATCTCCTTTATTGTAAGAGAGTTAAATTGTATTAATAGTATAATTTTGACACAATATTCTATAAGGTTATTCACCACTTGCGAAAAATTATTGCATACGCTTGTTATTTATTTTTTACCTTCTAGATAACAGTGTTACAGTTCATTCTAAATTTTTTTGTGGGGTCAACCTATATAGTATTCAGATGGGTAATTTGAAATAAAATTAGGGTACTTTAAATAAGTATATCCTGCTGCTACATAAAAAACAAATATCTATGATAATTATTTTTTGTTTATATGGTCGCTATAATTTAGATGATAATATTAAATTTATATACATTAGGTATATTACCCTCAAAAGGAACAATCATATCGAACACAACAGAAAACAGCATTGACATGCCGAGAACAATAGTATTTTTTATCCATTGTCATAAAAATTACTCTATTTGATAGTGCACCGCCATATTTCTCGTAATTGTTTTTGCTACAAAAGTTCCCAACCATACATTTCTGTTTAACAATTGGATGCATCCATTGTTGTACATAATGTTGACATGTTATTATTACAATTACAACAATTTCTATATAATTGCACTCAACACTCAGTGATTTCATGTACTCTTTAGAGAGGATATACTAAAATATTGTTTTACGTAGTTAAAAACTATGAAATTGTTACGACATTCATACTGTAATAACGACCTTTCCTCAAATTTATAAGAATGTAACTAATCTTTATGTTCTAATTTACATACGTAATGAGCAAATTTTACCTTTAAGCATCAAATTACTGAAGAAGTCCACAAAATTCTGTTAATTTTATCATATCTTATGCTTCATATTTTTCATTAAATTAGTTAATGAAGCAAGAATTTTGTATTTTCTAGGTTTATAGGTATAAATATATAAAAATCAGAGAAAAGAAATGGACTTATTAAACTGTTTCTCTAGAATAATACATGTATAGCGGATGCTTAAAACTTTTATAACAAATGTACAACTTATATTAAAAAAACACATAATTTCATAGTCATTATTCAATGGGTTTAACTGGGAAGCGTTTAATACCCTTATGCGTTTATAAGATAACTTTTATAGTATTATTATGTTTCATTTGTATGACAGGAAATATTTGTTGTATGAATCTATATATTAACAGAATTATTTTTCGCATCTCCGTTCTTCTATGATTCATGTTGGTAGGTCTCACTTATACATGACGCGCGCACAGGTTTAAATAAAAAAAAGTGTTTCGTAACAGTCCGTTACTACTTATTGATAGCCAGCCAGTTCATTTATTTGTGCCGCACGTGCAGGTCCTATTTGTTTTGTGTATCATTGTGCTTTGTGTAGTGTATTTATGCAAAAGAGAAGAATTTCCATGAATCCGAGATAAATCACACGTAAGAGAAATATTATATTAATTATCCATTTCAGATGAGAAGGTATTTCATTAAAATTTTCTGTTAGCCGCCCTTGACTTGATAATACTAGCTCGTATACTATGGTACATGCAGAGCAGAGTTTTTAGACTAATTGAAATGCAAATTCCACCTTAAGTGGATTGTCTAGCTGGTCATATTGTAGTTGTTTTTAATTGTTTTGAACGCGAACATTTGTTTGCAGAATATACGGTCGTTTTAACCGTCTTAGTAGGGCGTAGCCGCTTTGTTTTTTTGCCCGTATTCCATGCGACATGTAGAGAGTGGTTTTCACTCCGCTTAAATGGAAAGTCTAGCTAGCCATATCGTAGTTGTTTTAACTACCTTGCCCGCAAACTTTTTGTTTGCCGAATATTTGGGGCAGTACGGTCGTTTTGACCGTCTTAACAGGGCGTAGCCGCTTGGTTTTTTGCCCGCATTCCATATGACATGTAGAGAGTGGTTTTCACTCCGCTTAAATGGAAAGTCTAGCTAGCCATATTGTAGTTGTTTTAACTACCTTGCCCGCAAACTTTTTGTTTGCCAAATATTTGGGGCAGTACGGTCGTTTTGACCGTTTTAATAGGGCGTAGCCGCTTGGTTTTTTGCCCGCATTCCATGTGACATGTCGAGAGTGGTTTTCACTCCCTTGAATGGAAAGTCTAGCTAGTTATATCGTAGTTGTTTTAACTACTTTGCCCGCAAACTTTTTGTTTGCCAAATATTTGGGGCATATACGGTCGTTTTGACTGTCTTAAAAGGGCTTAGCCGTTTTGGTGTTTTGACCACGGACAATTTGTTTGCAGAATATTGGGGCACTATGCGATTGCTTTAATTCGACTAAATAAGGTCTAATCGTATTGACTTTTTGTTTGCATTTCATAAAACATGTAAAGTGTGGGTTTCACTCTTTTTACATGCAAAGTCTATCTATCTCTAAACATTTAGTAGTTATTTTAACCATGTCACCCATAACTTGTTTTAGACATTTTGGCGTAATTCTACTGCTATTTGACCCTCTGCATACCATGGTATACACGCAAAGTGGATTTTTCGTTCTAAAGGCTTCCTATTATAATTTTGCCTTGCTTACATAGCAAAATTTAAATAATCTGCTTAAAGCTACATTTTTTCAGAAGCAGTGATTGTACTGTGTTCCCAAAATAGTGAGTTAGTATATACTAATACTCACCACTCCCTTTTAATTCGAACAAAAATTAGAAATTTACAACTTTTTACAGATGAGAGTGAATTAGGTGCTCAACAAATTAATGTCGTATTTAGTACGAGTTCCTGGAGATAGTTACGTCATATTAAACAGTGTAAAAGACGAGTAAAAAAAAATTAAGAGAGTATACCAAAAAACAAAGGGGGAGGGGCGGAAATTGTGAGCAGTATGGATAAGAAGAGCGATGTGAAGAAGAGTTTACTGGTAAAAGGAGCCTTTGATGTAGATAAAATAAAATTATTGAAAATAGAGTACATGAAATTTAAAAATGAGTGCATTGTTTTGTCACTCAGTAGGTGCTATTCTACAATGAAACTTAATGCGAATTATACACGCAGTTTTGCTAATAACACCTTATATATTTTATTTGATTAAAATAATCTATATAGATTAGAGAAATGTAAAATGTAAATGTAAATGTAAATATAGGTGTGTACATACATGTACGTATGTGTATATAAGAAAAAAAAAAAATTCGATTACTAGGTATGGCACTATCATCAAACATGATGCATCAGAGTGACATGTTATTATAGAAAACTTAATTGAGCAACTCCTCTGTGTCTCTATAAGTATAAAAAAAAAAGACCGATCAAGTTTTGTTTTTTATACATACTGTTTCATTTATGACAAGTGTATGAAAAAATAGCAATTGAGGAGAGGACAAAATGATAAATGATAATAAGGGAACTTTCAATGAAGTATTAGGAAGCAATTACGTAACGAAACCTTAAATGAAGTATTAGGTCAGAAGAAGAGTAGCCTGATAGTATGAATAAAAATATTAATATTAACCAGAGTTACAACCTAAGAAGCATACGAAATTTATAAAAGTTAAAAAAATATATACACTGTAAGGAACATTTGACCTATTTTCACCCAATTTCATTCAATAATGTATCAATTTCTGTCCACTCGATTGAGTAAAATTTTCCTCTATTAGTATGAGTAAATACAACTAAAATTTTATGAGTAAAACTATCGGTTCAAATATTATCAAAAATGTGTAGAGTTGTCAAGGTGCCCAGTATTGACTGAAAATGTGCTCAATAATGTCACCCAATGGATTTCACTCAGATCTATTTATTTACAGTGTATATCTAGGTATATGCCTGTACATATAAATATACAATTTACCAAGTATGGAATTTTGTTTATTGTGGCCAAACAAATCAAAAAGCTTGCATCTGTTAAGATGAACTACATACCATTTGAAGGTATAATACACAAATTATATTAGTACAAGCAATATCGAAATAATCCTATCTAAAAACTACATCAACGACAGACAAAATCAAAAGGATGTTTAGGAAGTTTAAAATATAAGTTCAGACATTTAGTTGCTTCCTTTGGCTGAAAATTAATGTCTTAATCTAATTTGTCATGGACATATTAAATCAATTAGTAAAATGAATATAGCAAAAATTGGCAACTGCATCTTACTTGGAGAGGTATTACATTAGTAGCCATATACCAATGCCATTCAGAGACAAATTTGTAAAAAACGGCTTCCTTTAAGAATGTTTATTCAACATACTGTAACTTTACAGTTACGTTCTTTGGGCTATGAATCAAAGAAAAATTTGGCTTTCACATATCAAAGCAACAATTAATATCACACTTATATAACAAGTATACATCAAATATCACGAAATAGATAACTACATTTATATGTGTTTTATATCTATTATGTCAGTGGACTATACATTGACTTGAATTTGAATTAAAGTCCAAAGTAAAAAATTTCGGTCATACTAAGTTACTGATGTTTCTGAAACAAAATATCAAGACGAAATTCAAAACGTTCCAAATAGCTACAGTTCTTTTATTTCCCAATGGTACTCTATCTAAATTAGCTTGAAAATGTAAACCTATTGCTTCCCTTTTTTCTGTAATAATATTTATATAGAAAGGGGTTAAATATTGCACCCTCTTTATGTCATGAGTACCTGAGCATGCGCAGTCACCATCATTAAGGAAAAAGCGGTGCTGCAATCTGCTTCCCTCAGGTCTTGTGACGCATTGGACATGCTGTTAGTAGCAAAGTTTAGTAGGGCTAGGGTTAGTACATACAAATGGCTATAATCTTTCTGATGTCCAGAGGTGATAAAAATTCTATCCCCAGGAATTTGTGATTTATCACCATTAAGCATTCATAGTATCAAATAATGTATATATAATCCTCGTGTCT